GAGGGAAGGGAGGGAGGAGCGGCAGGCTCCTCACACCCGCCCCCTCCCCCCAACCCCCCCCCCCTCAGCAACAATTGCTGCAGGGAGAGAGGAAGGGCGGAATCACCCACTGCCGGCGCTGGCGGTCGCGTTGGCGCTAGCGCTGGCGGCCGTCGCAGCTGCTGGCGGTGGCGCTGGCGGTCCGCGCAGGCGCTGGCGCTCGCGGCTGGCTGCAGCGTTGGCGCTCGCGGCTGGCCGTGGCGCTGGCGTCCGCGCTGGCGAAGGCGGATCGCGGGGCGACGGGGGGAGCGTGACGGACGAAAAGGGCGCACGGGCGCGACGCGAAACGAAGGGCCTGCAGAAAGCGAAAAACGGGACCCTCGGGGTTCGTCCACGGGGCGATTCGGGGGACCCGCGGGGCGCATTACGGGCGGCACGACGGGTGGGCCCATGATCATTAAAAAAAATAGGTCCTCAGGAGAAATTCCTGCTCTGTACCATGTCAAGATATCTTGCTAGGGTTTAGCCTTAGGAGCCATGTTGGGAGGTAGAGTGTGAGGGAGTTGGCAATGAAAGAGGACTTCACTATAGAGCTAAGGGTACAAATATGATAGGAAAGGGGGTAATCCACCAAACAGAATGTGATAACTACACTACTGCTATATCTACATGCAGTTACAATAATATAACTCTGACACTGATACCATGTCAAAATGAGGAATGATGATGCCATTGATGTTGGTTGGGGTACATATAACAAACCCTAACTTCTGTACCCCCTAAGACAAACCTCACTACAGGCTACAACATTTGACATAGGCTGTGCCTGGCCCGGGATTCGCGAGACCTCACTCACACACTTAGGGCGTGTTCCTACACCTCGTATCAGACACATCTCGTCTCAGCTTCGCGTGGTTAAATAATGTTTCAGTGTGTTCAACTGCGGTTGGATGCATTTTAGTGCGTTTCGACGTGAATCTGATGCGAGGTTGCCTGATATGAGGCCGTAGGAACACGCTCTTAACGATGCATGCGCTGTACAGATCGCGCGCCGACGTGTTCTGCATCGCTGGAAGGAGCTCTCACAGCGACAAATTTTGAATGGGAAATTCAACTTTGTATTTCTTTTGTACACTGATGGTTCAGTTTACTTATAACTTTTACACTGGCAAAATCAGTATAAAGAAAACCATGAACGCTGATTTGGACACCTGGGCGACCGGGGCACGCTGATCCATCAGCATACCCTCAAACCAATCTGAGGGCCTGCCTGTCAAATGTTGTAGCCTGTAGTGAGGTTTGTCTTAGGGGGTACAGAAGTTAGGGTTTGTCATATGTACCCCAACCAACATCAATGCAACGATCCATTCCTCATTCTGACATGGTATCAGCTAGGTTAGGATCCTGTGGGATCCCGTTCCTCCGTTCTCCGTTCGTACCTCCCGAGCCTGATCCTACCTCTCGTTCGTACCAGTTTAGTTGTTACCGCGCCTAGTACCGAGCCTAGCGTCATCTCCCCCGTCGCGTCACGCCCGTTCCCCCCCGTCGTGTCGCGCCCGTTCCCCCCGTCGCGTCGCGCCCGTTCCCCCCGTCGCGTCGCGCCCGTTCCCCCCGTCGCGTCGCGCCCGTTCCCCCCCGTCGCGTCGCGCCTGTTTCCCCCATCGCGTCGCGCCCGCCTGTTCCCCCCCCCCGTCCCGTCGCCCTGTCCCGTTCAGGCTCGTGTTCGCCGTGCCCGTGACGAGCAGCTGGAGTTGGAGAGAGAGGAGAGGGAGTTACAGCGGCTGGAGGAGCAGCAGCAGCAGCTGGAGCCGCAGGAGCAGCAGCAGCAGCAGCAGCAGCTGGACCCGCAGGAGCAGCAGTCCCAGCACCAGTCGCAGCCGCAGCAGCAGCAGCCACTTCCTCCTCCTGTCTCGGGTCTTCGGATCCTTGGTCTCCCCTCCCCTTCTCCTCCCTCCTCCGCCTCTCCTCCTGTCTACGGTCCGACGTTTCCTCCTCCTGACTCCTCCCCCGCTGTTTTCCCCAGTTCTCCGCCTTTGTCCTCTCCTCCTCCGTCTCGTTCTTGGGCTACTCGTCGCTCCCCTCGTGCTCGTCCCTCGTCTCCTGTTCTCTTCACTGACCTTCGTACTGCCTTCCTTCTTTCTAGTCCACCTCGTCCGTCTCAGTCTGTGCTTCCGTCTCCTCCTGAGTCGGCCCTCACTGTGTCGCTCCCTACTCCTGTCACTGACTACTACCGCACGTACCGTCCTGTTCTCTCTCGTGTTCTCGCCTCTCTTGTTACTCACCCTCGTGCCTCTGTGTCCTCTGTGTCCGCTCTTACTGCCGCAGTTACTGACTTTGCCTCTACCCGCCGCCTTGACTACGCCACCACGCTTGTGGCTGCTCCTCCTACCAGTCCTCTGGCCGTCGGGGGTGTGTCTGCCCTTGGCTGTGACGCCCTAGAGGACAGGCAGTTTGAGCTAGAGTTCCTGGCGGCCGCTTCCCCTCATCTCTGTGCCATGCTCCTCGCCCCTGAGGGTGACCCCGACGCCCTTGACATTCCGACTCCTCGCACTTACGCTGAGGCAGTGTCAGGGCCTTGGGCCTCTCAGTGGAGAGCTGCCATGGACGCAGAGATGGCCTCCTACAGATCCACAGGCACCTACGTCGATGAGGTTCCCCCCCCTGGGGCGAACGTAGTCGACGGCATGTGGATCTACAGGGTGAAGCGGCCACCGGGATCTCCCCCGGTCTTCAAGGCGCGCTACGTGGCTAGAGGTTTCAGTCAGCGCGAGGGAGTTGACTTCTTTCAGACCTTCGCACCTACCCCGAAGATGACCACTCTTCGGGTGTTACTACACGTAGCAGCACAGAGAGACTACGAGTTACACTCTCTCGACTTCTCCACTGCTTTCCTTCAGGGCAGCCTACACGAGGAGGTCTGGTTACGTCGTCCCTCGGCCTTCACTGGCACTTTCCCTCCTGGGACCCAGTGGAGGCTGAGGCGACCTGTTTACGGTCTTCGCCAGGCCCCTCGTGAGTGGCACGACACTCTGCGTTCTACCCTCTCTGACCTTGGGTTCCAGCCGTCTTCTGCCGACCCGTCGCTGTTCGTTCGCCGTGGCTCCACACCGTTCTTTGTCCTGGTCTACGTCGACGACCTCGTTTTCGCCACTCCGGACAGGGTTGCTTTGGCAGACGTGAAGTCCGAACTGCAGAAGAGACACACGTGCACTGATCTTGGTGAGCTGCGCCACTACCTTGGCCTGCAGATCACCAGGGACAGAGCCGCTCGCACCATTACACTCTCACAGTCACACATGGTGCAGCAGGTCCTTCAGCGGTTCGGGCTTCAGCACTCCACCGTACAGCGCACACCTCTAGCTGTTGACCACAGACTCACTGGTCCCTTTCCTGACGAGCCGTTTGAGCCTAGTGGTCCCTACGCAGAGCTTGTGGGTTGCCTCATGTACCTGATGACTTGTACTCGCCCGGACCTCGCCTTCCCTCTCAGCATCCTTGCGCGCTTTGTTGCGCCAGGGAGACACCGTCCTGTTCACTGGACGGCAGCTGTGAGGGTGGCGAAGTACCTAGCGACTACATCAGGCGTGGGGCTAGTTCTTGGAGGGCAGCAGTCTGTCGTACTCACTGGTCACTGTGACTCCTCTTACGCTGACGACGCTGAGACTCACAGGTCTACTCAGGGGTACTGTTTCAGTCTGGGTTCTGGAGCTGTTTCCTGGCGTTCCACGCGCTCCTCTTCTGTCTCGACCTCTACAGCTGAGGCTGAGATTTACGCTGGTGCCATGGCGGCACAGGAGTTGCGGTGGTTGACCTTCTTGCTCGCCGACCTTGGTGAGCGGCCGAGCTCTGCACCGACCTTGTTTACTGACAACAAGGCGTCGATCCTCCTCTGTCGTGAGCCGCGACTGGAGAGCAGAGTGAAGCACATTCACGTCAGGTACTTTCTTCTGCGAGAGTTGCAGAGGCGTGGACAGGCTCGCTTCGAGTTTGTAGAGTCCGAGGCCAACACTGCAGACATCTTCACCAAGGCGCTTCCGCCTTGTGACCACCATAGGTGTTGTGTGCAGTTAGGCCTTGTTGACACAGGTTCTAGTCATGCGTAGACTTGAGTTTATTGCCTGCTTCGTCTGTACACTTACTATATATACTTGTGATCTCTTGGACTGGCCTTGTGGCCACTGTTGCTTGTGCTCAGAGTGTGTGGTGACGTTGTGATCCACCCTGAGCTTTGTTTTCTTTTGGACTGGTCTTGTGACCGTACTCTTTTTTTTGTTTTTGCTAGACACCCCTCACTTAGGCTATGGGGGTGTGTCAAATGTTGTAGCCTGTAGTGAGGTTTGTCTTAGGGGGTACAGAAGTTAGGGTTTGTCATATGTACCCCAACCAACATCAATGCAACGATCCATTCCTCATTCTGACACTGCCCTACACACAAATAGGTGTCTTATAATGAGGCTACCCCGTTTATTAGAGACACCCGTATAATAGACAACCCCTTTCTACTATTCAACACTGTCTTATATCCGGGTGATGAAGGTATGAGCAAGGCAGTACATTCTGTTATATAGCAAACGCATAGGGCAAACAGTTACCAAGGCGCAACTGTATAACAGTTGCGCTGCGTCGCTTGGGTTGCCTTGTTACAGTCGCGCTGGCGAGACTTTTCAGCTTCGGCAAGGGCGCGGTATCCTGCCGCGCCCCATAGGTCAGTATCGCGTACTGTAGATGATGACTCCTGCTGTCGATTCGACTCTTGAGCTGCCACGCGGGTCGCAACCGCTGTGTTCGGTTGCGGCCCGTTGACTCGCCACCAGGTTCAAATCCCTCGCTGTGGCGAGCCCCTGTAAGCACACTTCGAACAGTGCACTTATAATAAAAGCATACAAACATATTCTCAACAGAACCAACATACAGTAGGGCTCAAGAATCAAACCATGAAGGTTGGCCCAGCATGCATTACCGCGTATGCTACTACACTGAGAGGGCATGCATGGTACTCCTTCACGCCTGGTTCTACTCCTCTATAACGCCGCTTGCTTTTGGTGGATCCTCTTGTTCTCAATTCCCTTCCCACTACCTCTCCTCTGCCCTTTCCCAACAGCCCCCCCGTTTAGCTCTCCTCCACCCCCCTCTCCTCCCACTTGCCTCACCAGTTCCGGAACCTTCCCATGCCACTCCCACACGCACATGCGCCTGTCTGCATCATAATGCCACATGTCATTTGCCAAAAACCGCCTCATCTTCTCCTCCCTCCCAGATATCCAGTTATTATGCAGAATGGAGCACCCCACCTTCGCACATGCCCTGTGAACATTTTTCTGCTCCCACAACCCGTGAACCGCCCCGTTAGGGTACCTAGCTCTGTCGAGAAAGACCGTTCGCAGCCCATTTTTCCATACGCACTCCTCCCTCCCTGCGGCTACTAGCTCGCCTGCCTCCCCACAGAGAACATCATAGAAGCTTGGTTGTTCAGACAGTTTCGTTGCTGCTGCGTGCGCAGTGATCGCCTCAAACGCCTCGACCGTTTTCCGGTCTGCTCGGGCGAAATAAAACCCCGAGTTGATCCTCCGAACGCCAGTTCCGGGAAGATTCGCGTCCGGCTCGTTGCTCTGGATCGGCAGTGTTCCCGGGCCGAACGAGAGCAGGTCCGGGAGAGGGTCGGTGAACCAGACTATGTCTACGTCTGTCCAGAGAACAGAGTAGCCGGCGTTGAGAACCTTGAGCACGGAGCGGGACTTGAGCTTGGTGAAGTGGCGGAAGCACTGGCTGCCGTAACCACACTCTGAGGCGCGCATGTGCTTCACCTCCTCACTTGCCTGCGGGGGGGGAAATGGGCGAGGAAACGAGTAAGTGGCAAGACAATAAGTACACTTAGAAGCACTGGCTGCCATAACCACACTCTGAGGCGCGCATGTGCTTCACCTCCTCACTTGCCTGCGGGGGGGGAAATGGGCGAGGAAACGAGTAAGTGGCAAGACGATAAGTACACTTAGAAGCACTGGCTGCCATAACCACACTCGGATGCCCGCATGTGCTTCACCTCCTCACTTGCCTGCTCGTAGAACACGGGCAGGCCCTGCGTGAAGGCGAATCGGTACAAGTCCTCGTCCAGCGCGGCAACGAGGAGGTTGGAGGCGAGGCCGAGGGAGCGCAGGCGGCACACGAAGCTCATCAGCATCTCCGCGTACCCCGCGGTTACCGCCACTAGGGTTACCACCTGTAACTCTCCCCCCCTCCCGTCCGGGACCCTGCGGGCGAGCACTGGTAGAAGCTGCTCCATGGTGTGTGGGAGGCCTACAGGGGAGGAGGATGGGGAGGAAGAGTTGGTTGAAGCTCCTGCATCTCTGCTGCTGCTGCTGCTGCCACCGGTGCTGTTACCTGTGCTGTTGCCGCTGCTGTTACTGCTGCTGTTACCACCACTGCTGGTATTCGAAGAGTCAAGAGCGCTGTGTGGGATGGCGTGGATGGTGTAGTCAGTGGCGTTGGCAGGGGCCACGGAGCCGCACGTCCACTGGTTCGTCTTGGCGTTCATGCGGGGGTCCGTCTGAGAGGCGGCGACGGCGGAGGAATACTCGCAGGAGCACACGGCCGGGCGCAGGCGGCGCTGCAGACACAGGAAGTTGGCTGGGGGGGAGGCGGGGGAAGGGGGGGAAACGGCAGGGGAGGCAAGGGCGGAAGGGGCACCAGGAAAGAGAGTTCAGGGGGGATTTCCGTCTGAGCGGCGGCAACAGCGGAGGAGATGAGTTCAATGGACTGATAAATCTACTCAGCAGAGGGAACTGATGGATTTACAAAAAGGAGTAATACACTCACCCGAAGCTTCTAGGCAGTTCATCAGCTTGATAGGCACGTGCAGAGGTGTCCCTTTCTGATTGGCGTACGTCCCGTGTGTATGCGCCAGGTGGATATTCGCGAACAGCTCCCAGCTACTGTTCATCCTCGTGCTCCAGAAGCTCTTTCCCGCCAATCCCGCCGCGTTTTTCGTGAACGCCGACTCCATCACGTGCGAATAGGAGTGCGCCACGTGTACGGCTGTAACTGCCTCGCTGGCGTCGACGATTTCGCGAAGCCCCGACGAGATGATCTCGTGCGTCAGCCAGTTGTCGTACTTGCCGCGGCCATACGAGAACGGCGGTACGGTTCCTCTCACCAGCGGAACCGGCGTACGTTCGTCGTTGTTCCACGCCCAGAAGTCGACCCCGCCGTACGTGTGCAGCGTCCCGTGCGTACGTACGAATTCGCGAATCGTCGTTTCATGTTCCCGGTGTCCTCGCCCCGCCCACATTTCCCGCTCGAACGAGTACGGAAACTCCTCGGGCATGTCCCACCGCGCCGCGGTCATCACCCAGTGGCGAAAGTTCTCGTGAACCTTCCGCATCGCAGCCATGACGTCATTCATTAGAATAATATCCGCGTTGATCACCATCGAGACGGGCGTGTCCGCGGCTTGAGCGCGCGCGACGACGCTGTGAACCTGCGGCACGCCGTAGAAATTCGTATCGATGGACGATTCGACCGTTACGTGCGCGGGTAACTGCCGCGCGAGCGCGTGGAAAGAAGAGTCGTTCCCCAGCAGGACGATCTTGGGGGACGGGCGGAGGCGCAGCCACGAGAGCAGCGCGCGCCGCTGCGGGTCGGCGTGCGGGGAGGACGGGTCGAGGATGGACGTGTAGGGCTTGGGCGCGGTGAAGATGGTGAGGAAAGGGCGCTGCCGCTGCTGCCCTTCCTGCTGCGCTTGCCGTTGTTGAATGTGCTTGTATTGAGAGTGCTTGTTAACCGCGGCGGTCGCGACAGGAAGGAGGAAAGTGATTAACACCATTGTGACAGCAAGGGTGGCTGCTGCTAGGAGTAAGAATTTATGGGGCGCGTTTCCGCCCATTTTGAATGCTGCTTACTGCCCTTTTTTTAGAAATGAAGGGAAGGGACGGAAGGTAGTAAGTGACCGTGCGGCCTGCGCTTCGAATTCCGTAGAAGGTTGGACAGCAGCCTTCTGTGTGGCGAGTTATACCACTTATGATGTCGATTGACAGAGGTTAAATTTCTGACAGGGACCGACGAATGAGAGAATGTGGATATTCGAAGGTACTTATTGGGCTCCAGCACAAGGCATAAGGATAGCCGTAATGACTGACTCCTGTGTCACCTAAGAGAGGGGCAAGTAGCAATCTAGTTTGACGGCGGGGAATAAAAGCATTGCACGAGGCGCGATCCGAAAGGTGTGGGATAAGCTCAACGAAATTCTGTTGACGACAACGAGTAACGAATCAACGCGAACGAACTAGAAAGCAATTTGTTCTCCTAACGACTCTGCTCCACGATATCTCTGCGTGGCTAGAACTTCGCTGCTTGTGGTTACTTGGCGAAAGCTTTAGGTCAAGAGAACGCGGCTGGTCATGTTGGGGTTGCGTGTGGTGGGCAGGCTGGCTTTGCCTAGCAGCACCAATCACAGTGTGCGAATTCAGCGAAAAATGTTTCGTCCAACCTGACCACGTTGCCTGATGGCATCCATAGGCGAAGTGAGGCAAACCTGGGCTGGCTGGTTTCACTGGCACCATCATGTAAGTGGCCTCGATACGCTGAGGAATTGGGGAAGTGTCAGTCTATAATACAAGTAGAATGGTTGTGATACAACAGGACCTGGTAGTAATGCTAATATACAAATTCACTAACACAACAGGACCTGTTAGATTTTAGCAACTCGCTTATTTCATGGCTGAGATTCTGCTCCCCGCAGCTACTTTGTGAGATGCGCCACTGTGCCATCTCCACATGCACATTCTCTTCTCGGCATCATAGTGCCAGAACGAGCTCACCACAAACCGCTGCTTCTTGGCATCCTTCCCAGCAATCCAGTTGTTGTGTAAAATAGTGCAGCCCTTTCTCCTGCAGGCCTCCTCCACATCCTCCTCGTCCCAAAACCCATGCGCAGCACCATTCGCATACACCACCCTATCAAGGAAGATAGTGCGAAGGCCGTTTTTCCACACACACTCCTCCTTCCCTTCCACGACATTCTCACCCTTCACCCCGCACAGGATATCATAGAAACTCGGCTGCTCTGACAGTCTCGTAGTGGCTGCATGCGCAGTGATCGCCTCAAATGCCGCCACCGTCTTTTTATCTGCCCGAGCGAAGTAAAACCCAGAATTAATTCGCCGAATGCCAGTCCCAGGCAGAGTCACGTTTGGCTCATTGCTCTGGATCGGGAAAGTTTCTGGGCCATACGAGAGCAGGTCCGGGAGAGGATCGGTGAACCAGACAATGTCGACGTCTGTCCAGAGCACAGAATACCCCGCCTTGAGCACCCGAAGCACAGCCCGCGATTTCAGCTTAGTGAACTGCCTGAAGCACTGGCTGCCAAAGGCACAGTCCTTTGAATCCACCCCCTTCAGTCCTTGGCTGACTTGCTCATAGTACACGGGCAGGCCCTGAGTGAAGGCGAATCGGTACAAGTCCTCGTCCAGCGCGGCAACGAGGAGGTTGGAGGCGAGGCCGAGGGAGCGCAGGCGGCACACGAAGCTCATCAGCATCTCCGCGTACCCCGCGGTTACCGCCACTAGGGTTACCACCTGTAGCTCCCCCCCCCGCCCGTCTGGGACGCTCCAAGCAATTGTGGGCAGTAGCTGTTCCATGGTGTGTGGGAGGCCTACAGGGGAGGAGGCGGGTGAAGGAGGAGGAAGAGTGGGGATACTGTAATCCGAATTCCTGTCCACTGACACGCTGCCACATGTCCATTTCCTGCCCGTCTTATCCAGCTTCGGGTCGGTCTGGCTGGATTTAACGAAATTTGCGGATTCGCAGGTACACGTGGCGGGGCGAAGGCGCTGCTGCAGGCACATGTTGTGCACGGAGGGCTCGTGACACGTGGCGAGCTTCCAGGGCACGTGCAGCGCGGTGCCCTTCTGATTGGCGTATGAACCATGTGTCATGGCCATGTGGATGTTTCCGAACAGCTCCCAGCTGCTCTTCTTTCGCGTGCTCCAAAAGTTCTTCCCTGCTGCTATTCCGTTACCGTTTTCGTTACCGTTTCCGTCCTTCCCGCCGATGCTCTTGGTCGAGGCTGATTCTACCACGTGCGAGTAAGAATGCGCCACGTGGATCGCCGTGACTGCCTCGCTGGCGTCGACCATGGTCCGCCGCCCAGCCGCCACGATCTCGTGCGTGAACCAGTTGTCGTACTTCCCGCGCCCGAACGAAAACGGCGGCATAACCCCGTCGAACAGCGGCGCGGGTGAGTCGTTGTTCCACGCCCAAAAGTCCACCCCACCGTACGTGTGCAGCGTGCCTATATCGCGTACAAACCCGCGGATTTCTTCCTCCATCGCCGCGTGGCTGCGCCCGCGAGCCAGCCCCCGCTGCCCCCACATGTGCGGCTCGAACGAGTACGGGAAATCTCCCGGCATGTCCCAACGCGCTGCGGTCATCACCCAGTGCTGGAAGGTTCCGTGCGTCTTCTGCAACGCGAGCATGACGTCATTCAGAAGGATGATGTCACCGTTGATGATCATCGAAATGTCGGTCGACGCGGCTTGAGCGCGCGCCACCATGCTGTGAAATTGCGGCACGCCGTAGAAATTGCTGTCGATCAGCGGCTCGACGGAGATTTGCGCGGGAAACCGACGCGCGAGCTCGTGAAACGACGTGTCGTTTCCAAAAAGCACGACTTTCGGAGGCGGCGAGAGGCGCAGCCACGAGAGCAAAGCGCGCCGCTGCGAGTCGGGGTTTGGGTCTGAGGGGTCCACGATGGATGAGTAGGGTTTCGGAGCGCAGAAGATGGTGAGCGACGGCGCCCCGAACTGATCGCTCGGATCTCTGAACTTGTCTCCATGCGACTGAATGCGATCGCTGGACGACTCGGATCGATCGCCGGTGCCGTCGTAGTCGCTTTGAATGAGACTGCCCCGGGAGATTCCGTTTGCGATCGCGAACGACGTCACCGGATCGCCGTTTAGATTACGTCGGGTGTCTGCTCCGCTGCCGGCAGAATTGACGGAATTGACGGAATTGTCGCTCGATGAGCCTTTCTTGAAGATGACGGAGTGGCTTCGGTCGGCAAGCAACGCGCCGTCGCGAAGGATTCGCTCGCGAGGGGTGAGACGACGATCGCTTACTAGGGAGGAAAAGGCGGACGGGAAGGAGGTGCAGAGGATTAAGAAGATGTAGAGGAGAGCGAAAGTGCGCGCATGTTGCGCCATCGTTACTCAACGTGGTGCGCTAGCGAGAGGCGCGCGAAGATGGAAACACGCCAGAATTCAGCCTGCCTGTGTAAGTTCAGTTGCTGGAAGAGATTTATATAGCAAGGGCTGCAATCACGGAGAGGCGGGATGAATTTGGCGCAGGCGTCAGCTAAGAGGCGTTTTCCTGTCCAGGTTTGAGTAGCCTTACTGGAGCCCAGCTGTTTCTGCAGGAATTAAATCTCTGGAGGCATTGAAAGCCTACGAGGATGATGCTACACAAGGTTCGGCTGGCGGGATGCTGCCGCTTTGTAGAAGTCTGATCAGAAATTTGAAGTGGAGGGAGGCTGCTGATGTGATATGATGTGAAGGAATTTTGAGGGCCATGCTCGTCTCGGCTGCGTTCTGTAGGCGTTATTGCCTCCGCATCGAATGTACAGTCCCTGTCCTTCCCCGTAGCTTCTCGCCGCACCAAATGTCAAATTTCTCAATTTGCTGGGCGGTGTTGCCACGAAGTCTCGTCAAACTCTCAAATCTCTCAAATTGCTGCCCCGCATAAGTTGTGCGCTGGCTGATGCTACCTCTCGAGGCAGAATTGGGTCTGTACGTGCGGACATTTGCCTGGAGAAGCAACATCGTGGAATCTTCACCCCGTTAAATTTGTGTGCCCCAGAAGTGGCGTTCTGCAGTCTGCAGCGTTAAATTTGGCGCAAGCAGTTTGGACGGACCGCGCTTATCACCAAATGTTGATAGGCAGAAGCCCACTTATCGGGGAGGATTCTATCGACCCAGTTTCTTGCAATTTATCGCCTGCAGAACAGTACCCTGGTCTGGTACGGTGCAAGGTTGCTGCCGCCGATGTGGTGGAGATCGATTGATCTGAGAAGGAATCTGCGACTCGGAAAGGCAAGGTGGCGATAACCACAGGTGGGGCCGTTGAAATAATCGCGCGACGCGACGTGTTTCACATTTTTCTCAATCCTGTGGAATACCCTCGCACCGCGCTCCCCGTTTTTCGATATTTCTCAATTCCTTGGACTGCCACTTGTTTCTACACCTGATATCACGGTGCGGTTTTTCTGCGTATGAAACTTCTGGAGGTTAGGGTCCCAAGAATTTCGCGCTTTTGCGTGATAGCGAATCTGACGCAATCCCGACCGACGCTACCAGGTGAGTCAGCATGCTGACCGTGGGCAGAAAAAACTAAACCCCATGGCTTATGGCATGTCATTCGGGAGCCTCAACCCTTCAAATTTAGGGTTGATGCTCCCGAATGGCATGCCTTCCGTATGGGGTTTATTTGTTTTCGTGCCTGTGCTGACTCATTGCACTGTAGAACCGAATAATCCAAAAAGGTAAAACTGAAACAAGGAAGGTAGTACAAACCATGCCTGATCTGAGAATGTAACTTCCAACAAAACTATCCCAGCCCTTTCTTCAGAAGAAGTACATAAATATCGCAAAATTTTGTGTAGCAGTCCAAGGAACTGAGAAGTATCAAAAAACGAGGAGCGCGGTGCGAGGGTATTCCACAGGATGAAGAAAAATGTGAAACACGTCGCGTCGCGCGATTCTTTCGGGGCCGTTGCTTGCGGTGTAGACATTCGATTGTAACTCTCGCATCACCCAGGCTCAGGTGCTTTCGCACAGGCTTGTACAAGTCGCTTGTGCGACTTCTTCCTCCAGTTTGGAGTTTGCGAAGTCACGAAACTCACATGCGACTCGGTAAATTCAACCAATCGACTTTCGCCAGAACAAGAAGACAGGTTTCCCTGACTTTGTCTAAATCCAGAACCAGTTTGGTTGGCTACACTCTTCTCCACAAACAATGGAGTCGCAACCAATGCTGTTTCGAAGCAAAACCGTCGCGCAGGTTGGGCTGCTGTCGCCAACACAAGCGGCTTGAAGTCTAACGTTATTTCCTGGACGTCGATTGGTCTGACCGTCGTCAACCTGCTAATTACCGACTCCTGTCGCCAACGGCGAATGACCAAGTGTCCACCTCGCCCCTGTCGGTTGTGCCAGTCTGTATGTAGAGTGTTGGTGCCGTATCCACAGTTTTTTTCGCATAACCGAACAAGACTCGGTTCAACGATTTGGTCCCACCGACCATCTCCCACCAACTTCGACATACACGAAGTCTGCTGTTTCGATAAGCATTTTGCCAGCCTTGTAGTGAGAATGTGTAAATTTACATGGAATATAACCATTGACAAGAATCATAAAATACTGTAAAAAATATAGGCCCCGGATTCAGCTTTGTTTTAAAGATTGTTTATAGCTGTTAAAAAATATTACCGTGTTATCACATTCTGTTACAGATTATGATCTAGTGCGGTTGAGGACGAAGTGTACATTTTCAGCACAAGCACAATCGCTAGTAATTCGCCTGGATGGAAGGCGGGGTAGTGGATGTCTCGTCAATGATAGGGAAACACGTGGCTGCCACATCCACTCCAAACATCGACCAAACCACATCCTTTCCAACTCACAGTCTCCCTGGGAAAAACATTTCTCTGCACTACCTTGGGATTCCCTGGAGAAGCAAGAATCCCTCTCCCCTCGCATTCCTCCGAGGGCTTGCAGTTTCTTCTCAGGCTCCATTGCTTTGGGATCTTAGGCTTCAGTGTCTGAGGCACACTAAGCAGGACCATTCCTGAGTTGCCTCTCGGCAAACTCAGTTGCCTCGTCCTAAGTCGAGGTTTCGTTCCGCACATTGACCGGCTGTATCGCCAACACGTAGAACACGGCAGGACTGATATTCTGGTCTGAAGTTCTCCTCACCCCCAAAGCCAGAGGTACCGCGTAGAGGAGATCGATTGGAAACCAAGTTCAGAACCTGGTTTGAACAGTCGATTTCTAACTTCAACTCTGTTAATAAACTTCTCGACCCGAGGCTAGCGATCCTCCCAGTCATGGCCAAGCCGGCTCCCGCAAAGAAAGGCGCAGCTGCCGCTGCGCCTGCTGCCACGTCAGCAGCAGCGACTGAAGCGGCAGCCAACCAGCAGCTGGCCGCTGATCTGATGCAGAAATGGGAGCGGCGAAACGATCCTGTCGAGATCGACGATTCGGAGCAGCCGAAATATGTTCGCAAGGGACCAGCGACGTCGAAGGAGCTAGCCGCGAACAAGAAGGTACGACAGGCAGACACGGCCAGTTGCAGAGGAGAAAATGGTGGTGGGGAGGAAATGACGCGGGATCAGGTGCAGGGAGAGAGGAATAGACTGCAAATAGTCGTTCTGACGGCCTAACGTTTACGCTAATGACGCGGTATCGTTCGCGCGAATGTCACTAACGCTCACTCTGCATCCCTGGATTGTGAAGGCAGAATGTTTCTGAATAAGTGCTTCTGAGGTTTTTGAAAGTTACACCTACGCGCTGAATGACAGGATAACTCAGGAGCGATACGACGAGAGCCTGTTGAAAATGAGGCGTTTTTTTGCGCATGGGTGATTGTAGATGGATATACAAGGAGGCCAGTTACTCTGGCTGAAGAATCACCTCCGGCAAGACCTAGCGCATGTGTGATTGTAGGTGTATAGAGTAGGAGGTTAACAGCACTGACTCTGTAACAAGCTCCTCGTCCGAAATTCGTGCAGTGAGTTTCTTCGCCAGAATGCCGTGTCATTCTTATGAGAATGCGCCGAATCAGGATCTGGTAAAGGATAAAAGGCTTAAATAGACCTTTCCCTTTCTGCGCCCCTCTCTCCCCAACCCTCCCACCTCTACCCCCTGCCTGCCTCCCCTCCTTTCCTCCTCTGTCCTACCCTGTCCTTGTCTGCCTCTATCCGTACCGCAGCTGTGCAGCAGGTGGCGAACAGCCGCATGACGCAGTTTCTACTCAAGTCCGACGAGCTAGCGGCAGCGGCAGGAGGTTTCCGTCCCCTCCCCTTGCCTCTCCCCCTAACCCTCTGTCGTCGTACCAACCCCTCCTCACCCCCCTTCCCCGCCGCAGCTGTACCAGAAGGTGGCAAACAGCCGCATGACGCAGTTTCTGCTCAATTCCAAGGAGCTAGCTAGGCGGCAGCAGCAGGAGGGGTTTCCTTTCCTTGCCTTTGCCTCTTCCCCTAATCCTCCGTCGTCGTACCAATCCCCCCCCCACTTTCCCCTCCACAGCTGTACCAGAAGGTGGCCAACAGCCGCATGACGCAGTTTCTGCTCAAGTCGGAAGAGCTAGCGAGGCGGCAGCAGGAGGAGGAGATCCGCCGGCACTCCGCGCCGCTGCACGCGGAGGACAAGGGGCTCTGGAAGAAACTGCCGCTCATTCCGGGTAAGGGAGAGAAGTCCTGTTAGGTTGCTTGGTCATGATAGGCACTCCGCGCCGCTGCACGCGGAGGACAAGGAGCTGTGGAAGAAGATGCCACTCATCCCGGGTGGCAAGGAGAAGCAGCAGGAGAAAGGGTTAAGAATGTGGGTGGGTGAGCCATGGTGATAGTGGTACCCCTGCGGAATATGATGGTATCCATCTGCACCGCTCCAGATTCTGGAGGGTTTGAAAGGCCACTTCAATCTCACGCTCTTTCGCCTCCCTTCCAAGTTCCAACCCCTTTCGGCATGGGCGTCTAGGACTGGCGGGTAACAACGTCTACGACTCCTTCAAGTCAAGTCATTCCACTTCGGCCTCTGGGGCTACCAGAAGCAACGTGTTTCTTCCATTTCCCTAATCCCCCCCCACCTTTTCTCCCCTGCGCCCGCTCTTCGCCCTCCCATCAGCCCCCTTTGGCACGGGCAAGCGGGTGCGGCTAGGCCTAGCGGGCAACAAGGAGAAGGCGGGCAACGTGTTTTCTTCTCTTCCCTCCACTCCTCTCACCCATCTTTCGCCTCTTTCCCCTCCCCCTCTCTCTCCGCTCCCCCCCCTCCCAGCTCCCTTTGGCACGGGCAAGCTGGTGCGTCTAGGACTGGCGGGCAACAAGGAGAAGGCGGGCAACGTGTTTCTCGACTTCTTCAAGACGTTCCACTTCGGCCTGTGGGGCTACCAACAGCGCCCCTACCCCGCTGAGAAGCCCTTTGACATCCAGCAA